GCTGAAACCACTGCCACCGTGCCGGGGAAGAATTAACTATTTATAATTACTCATTTTCCTTTTTTCTCTTCCTTCTTCTTCCAGGTACAATGAGTTTTATTTTCTGACTCACCCAGCTCTGTTCATTAACAATCACTTCCCAGATAACAGTAACTGGCAGCTTCTTAAACCAACCCTGACGCTGAAAGATTTCGAGAACAACATGCTGCACAACAGTAATTTTTACATGTTGGGCCTGCTGACCGCACACCCGGAGACAGGTGTCATCCAGACAGGTAACACCCTGTGGCGGGGAAGCTGCAGAGCATCTTTCTTTATGCAGCCCTGCATCCACCACACACTGTCATGCGTGTAATGAATTACATTTCCAGCTTGGTTCTGGCAAGCAGAGTGCACTCAAAGCTCTTGGGGCAGAGGAGGGTCTTTTTTCTTTCTTTTTTTTTTTTTCTTTTTTTTTTTTTGTTCAAACTGTGAAAAATTGTTGTAGCTAGCTCCTGGGTCTAAAAGAAAGCCTCAGTCAGCGCTGAGGATGAGTTACTCTATCAGCCAGCATCAGTGGTGCATAATTAGAAGTATTACTGTTATTTATTAGCAGCTCTGGCTTGAAAATGAGATTAAAACCTTTTACGATGTTCCAAAAGTCTGACATCCCAAATGATGGATAAACAGGCACTTCTTTATGCAATACTCAGCACCCCGAGTAAGTCCAGCAGCTCTTTTAACGTAAAACTATTCAGGTAACACCACTGAACTACAGGGCCCACATTTAAGATCACCTTCTTCAGATATTAAAAGAGCTGCAGGAATTTAACTAGATAGCTAATTTATGAATGCTAAGAACTCAGAGTTGAAACTTAAAGCAACAACATTTTATGACTTAATGTTGTCTTCAAGCTGTTTGGGAACAGGCTCATAGGGAGGTAGATTATCTCATACCTATGTACCAGAGGCTTCCTGCACTTTTCTCTGAAGCTTCTTGGAACAGCTACTGGACTAGCAATCAGGTCTAATCACATCTAATTAAGCCCTTCTCGAGCACACGGGCTGATGGTACTTTCAGTTATATTTCACACAGGCTTTCATATTCTATAGGACCACAGCTCCGTTTCAGTGTATATCAAAATAGGATAAATGCACATCTCCAAAACAAAGGCCACTCTTCACCTCATTCTTTTCGACGGACACTGATCCAAGCAGACAGCTCACAAGCTATGACCTGTCAATTGCAGCTCTTTTTTTTACTATTAGAGAAGCAGCAATTTATTGGGACAGAATAGTCTTCCCAGAACAGGCTGTACATGCAAAAAATGTACTGAAACTCTTATGTGGTTTCTTTTCTTTTGTGTTTCATAGTAAATGGAAAAGCCTCTGTATCAGTGGATTGCCGTTCTGCCACATTATTTACATTTAAGCTGAAGGGAACAGATGAACACGGTTTAATGACTTTGAAAAAACACGGAATGAAGCTGGATATCTACCCACAGAGGACAGGGAGTCACAAGCTGCAGATCTTTGCCAAGCCCTCCAAAGCCTCAGATGTCGTCTATGACTGTGTGTTAGAATACATCGTAGAGTGCAAGTCTGTGGACAAGGCCATGTGTTTCCCAAAGGACCTGCATCAGCCTGTTGGACCAAGCTGGTTCACGGAGCGGCAAGGGTTCCTGAGGCCGTCACACCCCAACCCCATCATTCACACCAACGACGGGCGGTGTTCTGTCACCTTCACTCTGGGCAAAGACATAAGCGTCTTAGCCTCACTGCACTCCGATAACAGCAGCCTGACAGAGGATATGAGAAGGCGGCACATCATGCAAATCCATCGTGGGAACCAAATTGAGTTGAAGATCCATCTGCCCCACGCAGGGAACTTTGTTCTGAAAATCTATGCCAAGAAGAAGTCAGATCCTGGCAATTACGACTACATCTTCAACTACCTCATCACTTGCCTGAACACTGAAGTGAAGTGGCCAGCTTTCCCTCAGAGTTACAACAAGTGGGTGGAAGACTATGAAATACTGGAGCCGCTCTCCGGCTTGCTGCCAGCGAATCGCAACGTTCAGTTTAAACTCAAAATGCATGGGATAGCAAAGGTGCTAGTTCAAGCTGAGAACACTTACCCTCTCACCCAGAACAGAGGCTACTGGGAGGGAACCTGCAACACTTCGGGATGCAGAGAGGTGTTTGTGATGGTGCACGAGAACGCTAACCACAGCTTTTACTCACACGTTCTGAAATACGAAGTTGAAACTGAGTAACACCCCCTCCTTGTTCTTTCACTCACCTGCATGAACCAACAGTTCCAACGCACCCAAAACCAATACAGCTTTAGGAAATCGCTCGTTCTCTCAATCAAATCTGTTCTTTCAATGAAAGCAGGACAAGACTTGCAGGCTTTTGCAAGACCAAGGGCTCAAAGAAGTTCAAAAAAGCAGAAAATCCTGTTAAGAAGGGAGCAGCAGTGGAAGAAATTAAATAAAACCCTCACCTATGTTTCAGTAATACTGTCCAAACATTTTGAAGAAAACAATTGACTCTCTGGCCATAGGTCATTCTGTGCCAGCAGTGATTGCTGGTTTCCGAGTTATGGACCATAAGAAAAGTCTTAAAATGGCTACTCCAAGAAGAATCCACCTAGTTATGGGGCAGGATGAAGAAAGCACACCCTGGTTTTGAGCAGCAATATTGGACATGAGGAACTTCAGGATATTTAAACTGAGTTTCTGTATATCTTTAGTCAAGTTGCAAAATACATCCCAGGAGAGAGAAGTGTTAGAAAGAAGATACAACGTGAAGTTTTCTTGTGCACTTCATTGTCTTATAAATTTAAGTGATACTGCGAAATTACTTTTTACACTGATTCTTAAATACAATAAACAAAATCATTTTTACCTTTTTATATTAGAGTATTTGAATTGTAAACACTTCTTCTGCAATATTAACACTGTAATCATATCGCAAGCATATAGTGTTTCCATAACTAAAACTGCAGTAAAATGGAGAATAAAGTTCTCAAAAATCACTCCTTACTCCAACTTGTCTATGCAATACTGCAACTAAAAAACCTTAAGGGGCTATGCGGAATAGCAGGCTGAGTGACGTTATTATCATGTAAAAAAACTATTTGGTGCTGTACTCTTGGAAAACCCCTACATACACAAGGCAAAGGTGGTCTTCTAGTGAATCTCACCACAAATACACGTCATAAGATCAAGCAAAATTTTCATAAACAATTCAGATGTCCGTAAGTGTTAGCATGACCCGAGAGATATTATGTTTGAGCTTGAATTTAAAATAAACGTGTTATGCTTTTGCATTCTGATTCATTGATCAAACAATATGAATTCCTCTTCACAAAGCTGCTGTATTTTCCACACAAAATACGTGGGTTATTCCTATACTCCCCTCCTCCTCAGCGACTGGGTGGCAGAAGTTATACATGATAGTGAAGGGCTGCCCATCTGCAGCAGGCTCACTGCCTCCGATCCCTCCTACATTACTCCCTCTACTCCAGCAACCGGGTTTGAGTCCCCGTTTTAAGCAAGTTGAGTGAGTGTGCAGGGTACCTGGAGCTGTATTCAAGTAGCAGAACTCTCAGTGAGGATGCAGGCTACTGCAGACATGAGTTACAAGTATAAACCCAACGTGTAAGCTAACAAAGGTTACTCTAGGATGTCAGGAGTACAGCAATGCTTGGGGTCTTTTTGTACTTGGAGACAAGGAGGCTCCACACGTGACGTAAAAGTAGGTTTTAAGTCCTCCCCCAAACAGCTAAGTGTCTTTGCCCTCAAAGACTGGCAGCAGCAGCTCCTCCCTGCAGGAACACTAACAAGCCTTGTAGCCCAGCAGGCATCCACTCCCTGGACAGGAACACATACTGAACAGCACAGATGCAGATGCAAGAAAGACTCAGGGATTTTTTGACTGCCTAGGACCTTGAAGGCTAAAGCAAGCCTTGTCTGTAAGCACAGACAGCCCTGGTTTATTTTGGTGCCTAGCAGAAGAATTCTTTTTTTCTTTTCTTAGATCCCATTTTTCAGATGGAGGAGGACACATTTCAGTAGCTTTCATTTTACAAGTCAAGCTGATCCAGTCAAATGCATCACTTCTTACAATGGGAGGGTAAGGAGCCAGCCCAGAGAGCTTAGGAACTAAAGAAAATTACTTTTTCCACATAACAGCGTCAAGGATACCAAACTACACGCACTCTTCATGCAACCAAATACTTGAGGTTCACTTACAGGTATGCAAACAGGCACAACTAGCGGGCAGCCATGGTAAAGCCTCTCTCCGCAGGGCTACGCAAGTAGGAACACAGTCCCTGCTCCTTGTCTCAAAGACCCCCTTTCACAAGGTCTCTCTCTAACCCCACGTGCTCTATTTCTGTCTCAAGATGGCAGGGGGAAAAAAAATTACCCCAAGGGTGCAAAGAGGACAGTTTATACACTGTTGCCCCCCTACCTAGCAAGATCTCGGGGAGTATTCCCTCCTCCCCCTACACAACACCGCAAAACCCAGGCACCTGCAATTATACACATGTATACAGGCACAGACTCATTTAACCCCTCAGAGCAAAGAGTGACCCAAAGCACTGTCACACGCATGGAATACCTGCAGCACACTAAAGACAGAGAGAGCCTGCAACAGCTTCCCACTTTCAAGATGCTAGGCTGATACAAACAGAAGTACCGCAAATAAATTGCCGCATTTTTGTTTCAAACAGAAAACAAACATTTGGCTCAGCCCTGCAAATGTGTAAGAAATTCTTTAGTGCTATCGAAGGCATGAGTTCAAAGACACAAAAAACCCCCACTCTCCAGCTTCATTAATTATAAAGCTTCTAGGGCCAGGTGATTATTCCAAGGGATGTCTGACACTGCAAAAGCAGAGAAGAATGCCTGAGAAACCCTCCAGCCCCAGATAAAAGCACCTCGGAAGTTTGTACTTGCTGTGACATCTCCCTCCAGGATAAACAAGTCTTTTTCTCCTCCTCCTCCTAAAAAATGTAGATTTTTCAGCACAGCCAAGACTCAAACACCAGGAGAACATCTCTGGAACAGACTTCGTTATCTCGGGACTACCAGCTCTCCCATTTCAGTCAGAATTCTCCCTCGGCAGGCCTTAGGACTGAACAGTTTTTGTAATCCCTACACCAAGAGGTGCAATTACTTAGCACTACGAATTCAGATCACTCACTTTTGCAAACATCTTGTTTCTCAGTGAAGGTAAATTAAGTATGTGTAGAACAAGTTTTTAGCTCTGGCAAGTGTATCTCTGCACTTCCATCTACTCACGAGCTAGCTTCCTCACCCATGGAATGACTATGGTTAGTATACAATCAGATGCTCTACTATTTCCATGCTGGCCGTGAGAAAGGCACATGCTTAAAAACGAACAGCGCAGTGAGAGCAGGAAACTGTTCAACTCATCATACTGCCTTGCTCAACCTCTGTCCTCCTCTCCTGCTGTCCATGCACAGCAACTCCAGAAACAGCAGGCACACAAGTCTGGGGCACTGTATACCTGCAAGGAGAGAAGGTGGGAAAGACAGAGCACATATGCCAGCACAGAGAAGTAATTCAGCAGTTCCCCTGTCGCAAATTTTACTCTTTAGATCACTTTAGATCAAATTTTTACAGCCTACTCCCTGAATGAAGCTGCTTATTACATGTATTAGAAATTGATAAATACTGTAGGATTATTGCTGCTAATTAAACAAATGGATCATCTTCAGTTTCGCTCTTCACTTCTGCCAACATGAACTGCCAAATAGCTCTAAAGGAAAGGGATATGGAAGCAAACATTACTAATGAGCCAAAATGTCTTCTAAACTTCTGAAAACACTTAGTGCATGATGTAGCTTACTTAACAAATCTTCAGGAAATATAAAATGGTTTGTAAGGTATCATTTAAAAAATGGTATTGCTGTCACCACTCAGGACATGAGGAATCCCTAAGAGTTCTGGCATACCACATACTTGGTGGATCTATAAGTTCATGCAGGAAGGGGAAACAAGTTTGTTCTATTTAGCCATTTGGTTTTGTCAAAACGCCCCATGATCAACAAGTCCTTACTTGAGATCTGGATAGTTAAGGTGGATGTTCCAAAAATGCTTACCTGTGGACAGCTCTGAACAGGAACCCAGGCCAATGCTGACTAAGTGCAAAATGCACGACCACAGTTTATCCAGAGTTGTGGGCAGTTAAAACGCCTCATTACAAAGACTGCACAATGAGAATCCAGAATGGATTTGAAGGTTTTATCCTTGTTTAAAGAACTCTAGAAGAAAGCCAAAATAAAATAACTTGTTGATTCAAATGTTTTTCAACTCTGGAACGCAGAATTGCTTGACCAAGTGCAGTCCCATTTTATGGCATGACAAAGAGGCTGCAGTCTGCACACAGGTATCACCTTTGCTGAACTCATCTGCCTAATCTGATGGTTGGTTTTTGCATGCATATGTTGCTTTTGAATTCCTGTTTCTTGACAGCCTCAAGCTGCTCTAGGACAAGGTGAAGCTGATGGAAAGGAACAGGAAACTGAGATGGACAAGGGATATCTCTGGCCCTAGGTTTGCCTCTACAAAGGTTGTAAAACCTCAGCCACAGAAGAACTGCAGAGTGCCCCTGGAAAAAAGGCAAGTCCATAGGAAACAGGTTCTGTTTACTTATTAACAACTTACTTTCCTTGAGGAAGGACTGAATATATTCCTCAAAACAGGTCACAGATGTATTTTAATGCAGCAGTTCCACTTGACTAGACAGTGTCCGAGACTGCCTAGAGTCAAAACAGGCTGATACCAGCTTGCACAGCAGCTGCAATTACGTCTGCCATACTGATGAAGCTCACTTGTTTGCAGGTTCTCCTTCCATACAATTTCATTTCCAGTTCCAACTACTCTCCCTTCTTTTCTAAGAGCTGTGACCACAACGAGAATCCAACCATTCATTCCTTAGCTGTTTTGCAGTACTTCAAGCAATGTGCAAGGCAAGATAAAGATGCCAGATAATATACAAACAGTAAAGGGCAGGAGTTGCAAGAACCAGGAAATATTAAGAAATTCCACTACGTGAAAATTAACTGGAGAAAATACAAGTAGCCTAAAGGAAAGAGGAATCATAGTCCTTGTTCCTTGAAGAACATAGCTACTCTGGGAGGGAGAGGATGGAAAAAGTGTTGATCAAAGTTCCTGAGGAGAAGGCAAGATAAGCCACAAGACATTTACTCTGTATATTTTTATGAAAAAGAAAAGAGGTG